TGGAAAACCATCAACAGTGTGAGTGTGAAAAGTAGTAGTTCTGTTATATGGCTGAGTTTTGCAGCTCGCCGAGAAAATCAGTGAGACTTGAAAAATAAATTGTAGCAGCAGCCGTAGGCAGGGATGCCATCTCGGAGTTGGCAAGTTGTGTAGCTGCTGCCATGGAGCTAGAGGTTGGATGTTGCTGCAGCGCTCGATGTTGTAATTAGCCACTGCGGTGTGAGAGGTTGTCGCGGGACCGTGAACGTTCTCTGGTGTGAGTGGCAGTGTTGATGTTGGTGGCCGGGGTGGCTTGGGGTGGGGGACCTGTCCAGTAAGAGTGTAGACGTTCTGCGTCTTGTGGTGGGGTACGTGGTGAGGGAGAGGGTGAACGGCTGGAAAGTCCGGGTGGTAGTGGAAAACCTGGCGGTATGTCGTGTAGAATGGCCAGGTTTCTGCTGGAGAGTGAGGCTGTGGGGTTGATGCGGTATTGCCCTGGGAGGCCTGGGCCGGTGGTAACAAATTGAAGGAGCCGACGAGCCTGGGAGAGGCTGTCAATCAGGCGGTCCAGCAAGATCAGGTCACCGCGCATTCGGTAGAGGAGGTTGTATGCTCTCTGGTCCTGAAAATACGTCTGGCTTGGCATAGGTTCAGTGTGAAATGGGTGGTGGCGGATGTGTTGGTTGACCATAAAGAGAAGGTCCAAGGAGCTGTTGAGGGATTGAATGTCAGGCTGAGTGCAAATCGAAGGTTGGAGCCAGCTCGGAGGGCGCTGTGGCAGGTAGTGTTCTGTGTTGGCGGTGGTGCCATGGGGGCGAGCGCGAGGATTGGCCATAACTATTGGTACAAGAAAGCAGGACAAAGTGGCACACAAAAAGCTGCGGAGCTAAAGTGAGCCTGAAAAATAAAGTCCGAAGTTGTCCAAAATTGGTGAAAGTAGACCGGGCGTGAAAAACAACTTGTCAGTGCATGGTAGGAGATTTGTTCTGCGGCACGCCGTAGAGAAGGCTGGGTGAAACGGATCATATGAAATAACTGCCGACAGGCGTAAGTGGAGATTTCTCCGGATGACTGTTCTCACTAGGCTCTCGCTCAGCAGCCGGCGGCAGCAGCACAGCAGCCGGAGGTGATCGATGTGGTGAAGCCGGTGGCGTTGTTTTGGGGGAAGGGGAAAAATCCGGTTGTGAATGTGGTGCTGGGGAAACTGCTGGTGAGGTGGGTGTTGGTGAGAGGGAAGGGGCTTGTCGTGGTGGGTCTGTTGGTAGTGATGTGGAGGAAAGTTGCTGGTCTTGCTGACGTTGCATGTCTTTGAGTTCTTGCCATCGGGCTTGACATTGCTCGACTGAGAAGCCCACTCGGCGAGCCACAGTGGCCCAGTTGGGACGAAGTCTGGAGTTTTCTTTGAGTTCGACCAGGCGGCAATCGGCGTCGCCGTCCCACGCGTCCCAGTCCGTTTGTTGGTTAAGTGGTGGTGGGGGTGGTTGCTTCCGCTTGCGTGTTGTGGTCGGTTGTGGAGCTGGGGGTGTTGTTGGTGTGTCGTCGGAGTCTTTTGAGAGTGGTGCTGGTAAACGGATGGGTAGTCGGGATGGTGCTGAGTCACAGGAGGAGGTGGTGGATGGTAAACGTATAGGGTGGATAGGCGGAGTTGGGAGTGGCTGAAAGTGTTGGCGGAAAGTGGGATCCGCTTGGTGGATGTGGTGGAGGAAGTGTGTGTGAAGGTGTGCTACAGTATCTGTTGCTTGTCTGAGCAGGTTTTGCACCTGCGAAAGTACCACTGTGGTTCTGTGTAGGAGAGTTGAGGTGTCGTTGTGTAGAGGTGTCAGTGTACTGCTCATGACTTGGAGATGTAGGGATGTACAGTAGCACAGAGTCGTCACAGGTTGCTGCGGCAGCGCGCCAAAGCAGCAGGACAGCAGCTGATCTGCGGGAGCGCGTCATCACGTGGCCGTGCATATGAATTAAACGAGCATCAAATTCCCGCGGGCATGGTGCGAAAATGCAAGTCCGATTGAACAATCAAGTGCATGAAACTCAGACATGTGAAATACGCCATCAAAACAGCTGGTACGATTCGGAAAAAGATGTTGAAAGCAAAACCTGCAGAGCTTGAAAAATTGAGGGTTCAGAATTCGCGTGGCCGCTGCAGGAGGCTCTTTTTTGCTGCTATAAGCAAAGGTTATGTGGTGGTGTGAGACAGAAGGTGGAGGTAGAGGTAGTAGTGGCGTGGAGGTGTTTGACAGTGGTGTTATGTGTCTGGTGGAGTGGAGTTTGTGGACCAGGCCAGTCCTTTGACAATGGCGTGGTCCGGGTGGATCACCCAGCAGCGGCCCTTCTGATGGAAAACTGCACCATGGTGATCGTTAAGGAGGTTCATGGCGTGTTCCTCACCTCCGGATGTATATTTTGTGGCAGCACCCCAAGCAAGGAGTGTGATGATAAGGGAATGGGAGTTCTTGTGGAGTTGCCAGGTGTTGTGGATGATGCGGGCAAATTCGTTGTGGTCATGGGGTTGGTTGTGGGTGATGCGAACGCCCTGGGCAAAAAATCCAGGGTAGTTGGCGAAGTGGAGTGTGCTGGGTAAAAATCGGCCTTGGCGTAGAATGTTGGAAATGTTGCCGACAGGGCCCGTGTGGCCTGCGTTGATGTGGGCGACTTCCCGGTGGGTTGATGTGGCTCGGGAAACCGCAGGTGGTTCTGGTGTAGTGGCTTTGGTGTTGAGGAAGGGAAGTGAAATGGCGAAGTATTGGAATTGGTCGTATTGGTGAGTTGTGTCGTTCCACTTGGCGTGAGTATATTGCCGGAAATCGGTGATCTCCTTGTAGGTGATGTTGCAATCTGTGAGGAGATTGGCAATGTACTGGTGTTGTGGTCGGTTGGGGTTGTCGAGTTGGGTGGCGTGGAATTCGAGCCATTCCAGGATTTGGTCTGCAGGTGTAAAGGTGTGAAAGTTGGGTGGAGGTCGCCAACGGTTGATTGGGCGACGAAGGACGGCTGTGGTGGGAAATTGAGAGGGGTCTGGGTTGGTGTGTTCAGTGTTGGGGCGTAAATCGATGGGTTGTGGTGGTGAGCGACTGCGGGATGGTGTAAGACTGGATGTGTAAGTGGATGTCGAGGGCGAACGCCGTCGCCGGGTTGTGCTGTGGTGCTTGGAGTGGTGGTGATGTCGATGTCCGCAGCGGTGGCGGTGGCGTCCTCTGCGGTGATGGTCGGACTTGTGTCGGTTCTTGTGGTGGTGGCGGCGACTGCTGTGTGGTGGTTGCGGGGAAGGTGGTGGTGGCGCTGGTGAGACAGTGGTGTCAGGCTTGTCTGATGCAGGCAGTGAAGGTCCGGGTGCTGGTGTGGCTGATGCAAGTGATGGTGATGCAGAATGTTGGGATACAGTAGCTGGAGGGGTCGTGTTTTGGACCGGCAATGGAGCGTCCGTGGCGGTTGTGGGGATGTGTTGGATTGGTGGTGCTGGATCGGATGGTGTCTGGTGTGGGAGTGGAGGCTGGACTGGTGGTGAGGCGTTGATGGTTTGTGGAGGTGGTGGTGGGGGCAAAGGTTGGGATGGAGGCTGTGTGACTGGGGGAAAGGCTGAGTAGGGTTGCCAAATGCCCTGGGGGGTGGCGCATTGTGGGTCTGTGGATGGATAATTGGCAATCGCGGGCTGTTGCTGTGTTGGAAGGGGATGTGTCAGTGTGGTGGGGGGAGGAAGTTCAGCCGGTGGTGTGGGATGAGGTGGTGGCAACATGTACGAAGGGGGAGGTGCTGCTGACGGAAATACTGGAGTTGGATGTGTGGGCTGCGGTGGCATGTGACATGGTTGCACAAAAGTCCAAGTGGATGGTGTGCCGTAGGTCATTGCAGTGGCGGTAGGATTGGACAAAAAAGGTGGCGGTTGAAATGGTTGTGGTTGTGGGTGAGGGTATGCCGATGGTGGTGTCGTGGGAAAGGTGGGTGCGGTTGATGGCTGTGGCAGCGGCCATGTGGGTTGAGGTTGTGTGGTAGGTAATGGTGGCGGCGTGGCGTGAGCGTATGGCCACGGGAAGTGCGTGTCGTGGTCGTAGCTATGGCACGGCGCGGCGCGGCAGCAAAAAGCAGCGCAGAAGTGCCTAGTTGTATTGTTCTGTTGTTGTTGAAAGTCGCATCTCTGGTGTCTATGGAGAGTATGTTGTGAGGTGGTGCTAGATGTGAGCTTGTTGGTAGGTGTGTGTTCATGCATATCGAATTAGACTGAAGAACTCTAATGTTCATCCTTGAGTTCTGCCGATGAAAGAGTCACGGCATCAATATAGCAAAACGTGGAAACACGCACATAACTTGGAGAAATGAAATGACGAACCCGAAATCTGGAAGCTGAAATCCGGTGTAGTCTTCAAAAACCGTTTTTTGGCCCGGCGGCCGGTTTGTCAGTTGATTCGGGGAGGGTGTCGGTGCCTTCCTGTGAGAGTCCAGTGAGTGGTGGTGGGACGGCTGAGCGAAACACACTCTGACACTTGTATTCAGTGACTCAGTTACCACGTTGGGAAGGAAGGTGATGGAACAGCAAGGCGAAAAGGTCCAAAGATTTGAATTGTTGAAAAAAGTTTCACTCGCGCGGCTAGCTGCAAGGCACAAGCGGCTGACTGTAGCTCTCCGGTGGCTGAGAACTGAAACCTGTTTGAAGGGAGAGTATCGTGATCAACAACCGTGGCATCAAACCACAGCACGGAAGAGTGGAGTAGTGTCACGGCGCAGGTACGTTTTCCTGATCATCCAGTGTGGAGCTTCGTTGGCAGAGGCCACAACTGGAGATCCCTCTGCCCCCTGCTCATGTAAAGTGGTGGTCCAAGGTAGGTGAAAAGTCCGGAAAGAGTGGTGGCGGAAGACCCTTTGTCCAGGGGTGGACACACACAACACACACACACACACCAACCAAATCCGAGCAAAGAAGCAGCAAGCGCAATGAATGCATCGAGTCGAACTGTTGTGGTTTGGTGTACAGAATGCGTACCGAGATTTGTTTGTGTCGCGGTTGTTGGCCAGCCCCGACAATTGAGGAGCTGCCGGCCTTTCAAACCGCGAGCGCGAGAACCGCGCAGCAAGAGAGAATCAGCGCTGGAGACAGGACTCACATGTGGAGTTTTGTGTCAAGGTCTTCACGTTAGCCATTGTGATGAAACTGCATGTTGTTTCGAGATACCGCCTTCATACCCCTTGCTTTATGGACTGACGCAGCTCCCTGGTTTGTCAAGGATCAGTGCACGCACTGGTTGCACTGGACTACTAGATATTGTTTTTTGACGACAATTATGAGAACCTGCTTGTTTTTTTCTGACACTGTTTGTGTTTTCGACCAGCTATCGAGCAGAGCCGAGGTCTTGTTGGTCAGTAGGCAAACCATGTCATGTTTTATGCCATAATTTATAATGCAAAACACAGCTTCAACAGGGCGGAATGACAATGAACTGGCCTCAACGGTACATTTACTTGGCAGCCTCGCACTTGTATTCATTTTGGTGCTCTTGTTCTTTCTCCTGTCTTGGGCCCTTGCTCATTATTAGTATATGATCGGGCTGCTGCCCACGCTCCCGACCCAGTTGAACCTGTATCGTCGAAAGATACCAAGGCGCCGTACAGCCCTAATCTATTTCATGCCAACAAATCAGAAAAACAGACCCCTCGCAGGGTCTAACATCACCGTCGGAAAGTTCGGAACTTGACAGCAAAAGAGGACGAAGCAGCGCAATGCGCACATTGTGGTCAGTCTGATCACCTGAAGAGCCTTGGCGGTTGAATGCGCCAGTGTTATCCCAGTCAAGGACTGCTCCTCAAACATGCTGAAACAGTGACAAGAAAATATAATTAAGGTGAGATGGATGTCATGGCATTAGTCTTTGTTTGCCTCAACTACACAAGGAACTCAGCCCAGACGTGCTCAAACAGATCTTCCTTCTGGGGTTCCATTGCTTTCGGCTGTGTCTCAAGCTATAGTTCATTTTGTCCAAGCATTCTTTGTGGTATGATCTGAGAGTCCACACGTACAGCTTTGCTGACAAGGAGATGCTCCCTGTGTCGTGAAGCAGCTTGGCCACCTTAAAGCCAGATTGGACCTTTTGCATGCCAGCAAGGGCCACTCACAAAGAGTGTCAGCACTACACGAGCAGTGAGATCTTTTGCTCGTTTTTTTTTTGAGGTGTTTTACTGCGGAAGGGATTGCCAGAAACGGGATCTTCGTCGTCATCGGCAGCAAGATGGCTGCATTTCAAACCACTGCGCGGGGAAGCGGTCGCCGCCGACAGAGTTGCGCGAGGCCAGGTGATTGATGGCAAGTGCGCGGCCATTGCGCTCATTCTTACGCGACATTGACGTAGAAAGAATGAAGATAGGCAGAGAAAGGACCGGAAAGGCATTTGTCCAGTTCAATGAGTGACAATATATAGAAAGCAATTCAGATTGTGACACCACACCACTGCATTCTTGCTTTAGTTGATTGAATCAGAGCCACACTGTTTTTTGCATGGATGTCCCCGTCAGATTAGCTGCAAGTGGAAGGGGGACACTTTCAAGGTGAAAGTTGAGTTCGAGGCCGGCTTAGTCAGGTTGCGCAGGGCAGCAGCCTCTCTGGCAACCATCCAATTGGGGTCACAAGTTGTCTCCTTTCTTGTCAGGCTACTTTCCCATACGGAATGCTTGGCAAGTCCAGACCTTCAAACTCTGTGCGTTCTTGATTCTGCACCGATTGATGGGGTCCCCTTTGTTTGGATGCCGCAGAGCTGTTTGAAAAAACAAGATCAAGTATGCATGCGAAAAGATACAGCAATTCAAGTGAATCAACTTTCTGTTACCACTGATGGAGGGTCAATCTCCAGCGGCAAGGCTACAGTGGCAGACTTGAAGAAGCACATCTTTGCGAAGCACAAGGAGTTCTTGGCCCTAGAAATTTGACTCACGCGCCTCAATTGGGCGACTGGATTTCAGTGACAGAGTTGGTGGAAGGAGTTTCCTTCAACCTCAGGCTTCCAGTGGATCAGCAAATGCTCTTTTATTCAGAGAATGTCCTGGATGGCCAGACACCCATCAAGGAGAGGGCTTCTCAAAGACCTGCGGGCCCAGCTAGAACGAAGAGAAGTGAGACAGAGACAAGCTTCCAAATATTAGCTAAACCGGGTTCCTGAACAGGGAATCAGAAGCTAGGTGGGGACGCCTTCTCTTGCACTTCACTCCAAAAGATCAGTAAAGGCTTTGAATGAATGTTGACCTTGCACCTACGTTTTGGCCACGATGACCAGGACCTGGACATCAAGGAGGGGGCACCATCAGGAGATGGCGCAACAAAATCTTCGGAAGATGTGGATGTGGCTTGTCGGGTCATGGTGTCTTAGTTGTTCGTAGAATATATGCGGTTGCATGCATGTGTGGGCGCACACATTGTTCAACCAAAAGCGTTTTGGATGGCCCATGTCAAATGTTGACAAGACCCGAATGGGAACATGTGGAGTACCACGGAGTACCACAAGACCTGAATGGGAACATGCGGAGTATCCAATCTGAGGAAGTGTATCATAGAAATGAAACATTTGGAACATCAAGGCTTTCTGTACAAATTGAGTTTGTGTGCTGTACGAGATAGTGCACCTACATGTTACGCTGAAGCCTCTTCATTGAAGCCAGACACTTCCTAATTTCGTACTATATCATACTCTCCATGAGACCCATTTTGGGTGTTTAAACAGATCGATGATTCCGTTTGGCAGGTGATGCGAACTGTTCCCAATACGCAACCCCTGCACAAAATATGTGCACATGAAAAACGATACCTGTTTCAGTGGATTTGCATGTGCGCCTCGATGAATTGCTTGCTGCTGTTTCCAAGCCAATTATGAAGTACACGGTATGGAGGACTAGGATTACTAGGTTTGTGCTTTTTGAATATGGCCAGTATTGTTTTGCATGTGTGTGGCGTTCCCAAAAAAATGATTGGTTAGCGAAGCAAAAAACGATACCAAAACGATGCCAACATCTACAAAAATCTGCTTTGCTAGACCCTGGCCCAGCTTGTAAGAACCAAGAGGTTGCTGTTGTTTCTACGGGCAATGTGATATAACATGTTAGTAGTTTCCTTGGAAAACGATACCAGAAAATACATTTTAAAAAACGATACCATTTCAGCTTTTCCGTTTTTTTCACATTAGTTTTGATCATTGCTGAATCATTGCGCCCAAATGTCCCACCCTGCCACCAAGGCGGTGAAAGGTGCTTCAAAGTCTTCCGCAATGACTGCCATGGCCCCATCCAAAGCAGAGCCAGGCCAGAAGGGGGTTTAGCTGTTGGGCTGTTGGGTTGTAGTGTGGCTTATTGAGGTTTTATTTGGCATCCCATGCTTTAAAAAAATCTTTCAAATATATCATATATCCAATGTATTTTTAAAACAAATTGGTGGCCAGGTCGTCCATCATTAATTGTTCACATTAAGACAACTCTTTATTTATACATTGTTTGATGGCACTCACAGGATAATGTTAAGGTTGGTCTCTTGTTATTTTATATATAGTTATCCAAAATTAAAACAATGGACCTCTTGTCTCCTACCCTTTTGAGATTATTAAGATTTTGATAAATCTAAATAATTCTAAAGTTGATGTGGGGGCAGTCTCTTTGTTTCACATAAAGAGGTGACAAATTTCAACCAACCTCCGTTAGGACCAATGCGTCCGGCAATTGACATTGGGAGCGAGAATTTGATACTTACATTCCATATATATAATGTGTGTATATATAATATATAACTCTCACAGAAGTTTTGGATGATGGCCATTGAAGTGTTGCCTTCAAGCACCGGACCATAGAGTTTTGCAGGAGCCATTAAATCACACAATCGAGATATTGCGTACTGAACCGAATGCCACATCCCACGCGCCCACCTAGGTATGAAAGCCTAAGAGTACTGCGAGTAAAAGCCGTAGGTCTGAACAAGAAAAACCTCCAAAGCCCCAACGGTCTTGAAGTTCTCTAAGCGTGGCTCATGGCGACAGGGTGACGACGACCGTGCACATCTGCAGAACTAATTAGCACTTTACTGCAACCTGATGGAGCTGGAAACAGCGTGAGCAAGGGAGTACACAAAGTGCATAACCAAGGTCTCCAAGCAGAAGGTGTAAGAGGTTTGTAAGGGGTTTCCCAAACACGAGAGTCACCAGCGAGTGCTCAGCGCTCCTGCGTTAAATTGCCTAAGAGGTAACCTGTCATTCCAAGGTGTACACATACACACTCTGACATTGGTTTTCAGTTAATTCAATTCCCAGGTGGAAGGAAGGTGAGAGAACCGCATGGCGAAAGGTCCGAGAAATTGTAGGTGTTTGAAAAAGGGCTGTTTCACATGTCTGCAAAAATCAACGGTGGCGAGACGAGCGGCGCGGCGCGGCTGCAGAAACCAGGGTTTAGGGGAGAGTAGCGTGAAGAAGAACCATGAAACCAACAAACAGCGGCAGGGTGGACCATTGGAGTCAGTGTGTTGAAAGCAGGTACGCGCAGACTGATCAGGTCTGGTTTCACTGCCAATTGCAAGCGTCTTCGTTGGCAGGAGACTTGCAATGGCACCCCTGCCCCCCGCATGTGAAGTGAATTGGTGGTCCGAAACCCTTTGAAACAGGGGGTGACACACACAAGGGGCCGAAAATTCGGCGCCCATGTGGTGGAACAGCAAAGGAGGTGGCAGTCTTTTTCGTAGTAGGCGCCGGCGCGCGGTGGGTTCATGTCCTTTTTGGACATATAGCCGGACAAGTTCCTCAGCGGCTGCCGTGGCTGCGGTGGGTGGAAAACTGTAGGTGTAGATTGCGTGTAGGCGTGAGGCTAGACCGGAAAGAGCCAGGCGCTGGCTACCGGCGCTGGTGGGATCCCTGATTTTCCAGGGTTGGTTGGGTTGGATGTAAGTGATGGTTCGTTGTGGAAGGTCGATATTGAATCCCAGGAGATGGAAGTCTTCAACTGTTTCTAGCTCAGCTGGGTCTCCAAAGAAGTTGTGGTGGATGAGGGTTTGTATGGCCGGGTGGGAGAGGAAGAGTTCGTTGTGGACAATGAAGCGGTTGTCAACATATCGGTAGTAGGGGAAGTGGAGGGCTGAGTGTTGAAGAAGATTGTTGTGAATCTGTTGTCAAGAGTGCTCATTCAATGTGATGGCAACGTTGCAGAGGGCAGGAGAAAGCTGGGAGCCAATCCCAGCCCCTTGGATTTGTTTGTAGGTGTTGTTGCATGCCCGGAAAATACAAGTGTTGAGTGCAAAGTGACAATGGTTGTGATGTCAGAGGTGTGTAGTGTGCGTTGGGTGGGATGCTTGGTGTAATGTCTGCCAACGTGGGAGTGATGGAATGGGTTGCCTGTGGCTTTGGTGTCCACCGTCAGGGTGTGATTGGACTGCAAGCTTTGCCATTGCTGGATCATAGAGTGAACTGCATCAATGAGTCTGTGTTGGGGAACTGAGTTGAAGAAGCCAACGAGGTCGTCGTTGGTGGCATGGAGAGTGATGTCGTTGGGTGTTTGAGTGAGGCAAGAGTGGAAATGACGCCAAAGTTGTGGGATGGAGAGTTGTCCTGGGGTGTTGTGGGTAGAGGTGTTGCAAGATGATATGGAGTGCCCGACTGGTGGTACGTAGGAGGTTTCCGCTCGTGGAGTGGAAGTAGGAAATGATAGTGCGTCCTTTTTGTCATTGTTTTTTGGCTTTGAGATGGACGATGCCATATGGAATGGTAAAGTCTTTGCGGAAGCCCCATTTGTAGCGGGAGCGGAGGCCGGCTGGGATGGTTGCTGAGAGATGTTCGTGGATGTTGGCAGGTGTGAGGTGTGGTAGTGGTTCAAAAAGTTCGGGGGCCTGCCATGTGCTGAGTGCTCCGGTGAAGTATTGACAATGGGCAAAGGACTCGGAGCTGTTGGAGCTCATGGTCCGCGTGATGCAGGACGACGTTGTTGCCCAGGTGTTCCTGGAGCTGTCTGTGGAGGCGGGCGGTAAAGCGTGGATGCTGCTTGAGGTGTGTTGTATGGAGTCGCCATTGATGTTGGAGGAAAGGCTCCAAGTGTTGGGTGAGGGATGTGGGAAGCCCTTGTTGGGGGTGTGCGTAGTGTCTCTTCCCAGGTGCGGTGGTTGTGGAGCTGCGCTCGCAATGTCTTGTGGGCAGCTTCGCGAAGGCGGTGGGTGGGGAGAGATGGAGTGGAATGGCAAGGTGCTTGTGTTGCTGTGCTTGGTAAAATCCTCATGCGCGAGGAAGGTACGGTGAGGGGAATGTTGGGCTTCGGTGGTGTCAGGTTGCGGTAGAGGAGTGCTTTGTTGATGATGTGTAGGGCTCGGCTGCGGCCTGGTTCTTCAAGGTTGGAAGCCATACGTCTGATGGCGTAGACTTCGAGGTCGGTGTGACGGCCGCTGCGTAGTTGTTTGGCGGCTTCAAAGGATGCTGATGTGTGTTTGGTGAGGTCACGAAGAAGGGTGAGTGCGTGGTGCTTGGTGGAGGTGAAGAGATGTGGTTCGCTGATGGTTCGTTGTCGTCGGCGCAGGCGGCGGAAAAGCCGCTTGTGGGTGGCGAGGCGAGAGTAGAAATGCGCTCGGTGTTTTGTGAATTGCCATCCCTGTGCTTTGAGTTTGAGATGTTGCGAGATAAAGGGCCAGTTGAGAGGAGGCATCCAATTGGAAATGAAATTGTGTTCATGGATCCAGGCTTGATCATAGGTGTCGTGGGAGGAGAGTTGAATGGTGGTGAAGTGGTGTATGTTGTCATGAGAGTGCCAGAAGCGTAGGGAGAGTTCGGCTGAGACTGGGATGTTGTTCTGGAGTTGTTTGAGTTTGGCTCGCTGATTGTGATCTCTGTGGGGAACGCCGATTGCTGTGGAGCCCACATAGAAGTGACCGTGTTGGTGGTAACAGCGGTGAGGTTCAAGAGTGTTGAACGAAGTTTGATGTATACCGAGTTGGAAGAGAGGAAGTTGTGGTAGTGGTAGGTGTGGGGGAGGATGTGGAGTTGGCGGAACCGTTTCCGCCATTGTTGGGATCGTTGTGTGGAGGATGGGTAAGTGAAGAGAAGTGTGATGTGGATGAGGCCTGTCGCAAAGATGGCCTCTGCTCGTTCGATGTATTGTGTCTTGTGGATTAGTGTGGACAAGGCTCGGAACAGTTGGTGCATGTTAGTGTGGGTGGGCAGCTGTTGGCTGGGGAGACAGAGTCAGCATGCGGTTGCCGCGCCAATGCTAACGAGATGCTGTAGACTCTTGATGGTGAGACGGTTGATCCTGGCAAGCGGCAAACCGTACCTCGTGGCAGCTTCCTTCAGCTTCTCTGTAGTGACCTTATTTGTCTGGTTGAGTCTTGGTCTTGGAATGGTGACTCTGACTTGTCGATGTGTGGGCGTCGGTGGAGGTGGTGCTTTGCTGGGAAGAGGAGGAGTGGGGTGCTGTGCGGTGGGTTGTGGTCGTAGATGAAGGGATGGCTGTCCTGGACGTGATTTTTGAAGAATAGGTACATTCGTTGTGAGAATGACCGGATCTTCGCTGCTGGTGGAAGAAGAAGGGGAAGGAGGTGGTGGCTTGCTGCATGGAGGAGATGGTGTGGTGGTAGGATGTAGACGTTGTGTGGGTCTTGTGGAGAGATTGCGATATGGTGTGATCAAAACAGGTGGAGCCTTTGGTGGTGGCGGCGTGTGGTGAGCGCCAGTGATGTTGGTGGCAAGTGGTTTGCAGTGGGGTGACTCTGGCGGTGAGGGTTCTTCTTGTTTGATTTGCTCGTCTTTGATCTGCTCTTGTTTGACTTCTTCTGTAAAGTACGGGTCATCTTGCGCGTCTTCAATGATGGATGGGCTTCGGTCCCAGTCTGGTGAATCAAGGTCCATGGTGACGTAGGAGCGATGGGCCGACAAGCTGATGGAGCACAATCGAAACTAAACTGAAAGGCTGCGGACAACATGCGCAGACGTGATCAGAAAATCCAGATCATGTGGCCTCCGAAAATGAGAAAATAAAAGAAAAGGAAAGAAAAGAAAAGAAAGAAAGACAAAGGACCGTGTTTTCCTTGTTAACAGAGAGTGCAAGGGTTCAAAAAACTCCTTGAGTGAGACAGCAGGGTTGAGTGTAGTACTCTGCGCCTTGCCTCTGCAGGAGCTGCGGTCAGCGTGGTAATCGAAGAGAAGAAGGTGAATCAGAAAGCGTTGTGGTGGCAGTCCAAAGCGATTGGGGAAGGTGGCTGCGGTGGCTGGTAGTGGATTGTTGTTGTGAGATGTCGGAGAGTGGTTGGCGAGTGGTGGCATGTGGAGGTTGGGGTTGTGCTGTTGTGC